AGTGATGTGACGGTGAAAACCCCTTTTCCCAACAGGAGCTGCTTCAGTTTTTTTTCATGTAATCTCAGAGCGTTGTTTGAAATTTAACTACCATTTGAACAAAACAGACATATTACTCTGTATATACGGTATATTGAGGATTTGAAGGTGTTTGTTTTAAGTACACAGTGAGCTGTAGGTTTTCCCCCTCACTGGTAAAACTGGTAATTCACGAAAATTCCTGTTTTTATCATTGCTTTGATGGCACATGAATGTAAAAAAAAAAAAAAAATTATTCTTTTGCCATTGTAAATAGATTGCAGCTCCACGAGGATTTACTCCTGCTTGGTTATGCAAAGATTGCAGGTGAGAAAAATGTACGAAATAGTTAAAAAGGCAACAAACTGTTGGTCATTTTGAGGCCTCTCACCAGTTTGGAACGTGTACATCGGTGAGTGTTTATATGCAAACAACTTATTTATGTATTGTAATTTAAGGGTTAACGTATGCCGTCTTGGCTCCAAGGAGTGCGTGAGAGTGCGTGTGCGAGTTTGTGTATGAAATAAAAGAGATGCAGATTTCTTGATCAGTCTTTTCATTGGACACTGATATACTGACATACTGTGTGAATTGCTCCCAGTGTTTACACTACCTAATGAGCTCCAATAGAAGAGTTGTAGCTAAACGTCTGTTTCATAAATTTATAAAGCACACTTTTGAGTTACACTTTGAGGTATTCATTCACAGTTTATTGTGATTAAGAACACACTCAGCTTGCATCAGTGTCACTCGGATACTACGTCACCTGATACCAGTCAAATACTCTTCAGGCCTACCTGACTGGTGTGTGCAGTTTGTCAGATGGTGAACAATACAGTACTTTAAAATTGAAGGGAGTTAAAAACATATTTAAGCCAATGCAGAGCTTTGTTTTGCTAATATGCTAGTTTAATGCTAATGTGTAACTAAGGAATCGCGATAGTCAGGCTAACAAATTGTTTCAGTGACACAAGTTTAAGTCACTTGTTTAGGCGGCCCGGTGAGCAACTGGTTAGCGCGTCGGCCTCACAGTGCAGAGGTACTGGGTTCGATTCCGAGTTTGCATGTTCTCCTCGTGCCTGCGTGTTTTCTCCGCGTCCTCTGGTTTCCTCCCACATTTCCAAAAAAAACATGCATTGCAGGTTAATGTACTGCACCTACTGCCCAGACAGCTGGAATAGGCTCCAGCATGCCCGCAACCCTTTAGAGTCTAAAGCAGGTGTGTCAAACTCATTTCACATTGTGGGCCACATATGGACTCGGTAGATGTCAAGCGGGCCGAACCATTAACATTATACCATACTGTGCTATGAATCACCAAAATATCTCTTTCCTTTGTTTTGGTCTCAAGAAGCATTGATTGGCGCTTTCATATCATTTGCTGCGTTGGGTCTATGTCGGTGACAGACTGAGACTGCTGTTTTCTTCCCCGATCAAAACAATGTTGTCTTCTACTGTGATCAAAACAGTGTGCCCCCTAGCGGATAATGCACAAATTGCATTTTATTTAAAATATTCATTCTGTGTCTTTAATGCATTTTTTTCTCACTTTTAAATGATCCCGCTGGCCGGATCGAACCTCCTTGGGGTCCGGTTCCGGCCCGCGGACCATATATTTGACACCACTGGTCCAAAGGGTCGTGGATACGTTTAGAGGATATGGGGATCAGAAAACAGATGGAAGTTGAAATGAATGACTGTTTTAATTAAACCTCTGTCTGGTTCTGATATGGCAACGTGTGCGGCAGTACAGCAGCTTCAAAGCAGAAACTGGCGATTTAGCCATACAAGGAAGAAAATGACTTCCAAAACAACACTTAAGTCTAACAATCATTGACAAATGGACTTATACAAATTAATTTCACATTTCTGCCAAATAGTGACAAAAAATACATTCATCAAAACTGCTGCTCGACGAATAGCGATTAAGAATCCTTAACTGGATGCGACTGGTCAATGCTTCAGTCGGGACTCTCGGTGAGCATTCTGTTAAAGCAGAGGAATGCGGGCTGCTCCGCCAGGTTCTGGATGCTGTAGGCGTGGCCTGTTGGAGCAGAGCAAGAGAAAAGAGATGATGAAAGAATCATCTTACTTGGGCTGTCAGAAATGGCCCTAGTTTGAAACCCTAACCCTAGAATCATACTCCAATTTGAAACCGTAACCCTAACCCGACTTTGGAACCCTAACCATAGTTAGGAATCTCACTTTAAAACTCTAGTCCTAGTTTGAAACCCTACTTAGAAACCCTAACCCGAATATGAAACCCTATTCAGAGTTTGAAACCCCACTTTGACACCCTAATCCTAATTTGTGAAAACCTACTTTGAAACCTTAATCCTCGTTTGAAACCCGACTTTGAAATCCTAAACCTACTTTGAAACCCTCTCCCGAGTTTGAAACCCTACTCCGAGCTTGAAACCCCAATTTGAAACCCTAAACTCGATTTTGAAACCCTAACCCAAGTTTAAAACCCTAAATTGAAATCCATACCTTACTTTGAAACCCTAACCCCAATTTGAAACCCTACTTTGAGACCATTACCCAAGTTTGCGACACTTAAAGCCATCTCCGATTAAAATTTGCTGTTGACCAGTTGTAATCGCTTGTCCAGTCCTGAATAAAAGTAACAAAAGTGACGGTTCTTACCACAAGGCACCATGAAGGAATTGCCTGCATGCACACAAGACTCGACACAGTCTACGTTGACCCTGACGGAGCTCGTTAGCAGAAAAAAAACCTTTAGCACCAACAAAACAACAACAAAAAATAAAAATAAGAATTTTTTTCTTCTTTCCCAATATTTGGAGAGAAAAAAAAACCCCAAAAACATTCTGACCATGGTGGCGCTGTGGTCCACCCAAAGAGGTTTCTTCATGAAGGAGCCCAGCAGCATCTTCCCGTGAGAGAAGTTCCAACAATGCAAGTCCTCCACGATGCCCATGGTGCCGTTTTTGTAGAAGTACCAGTCAAACTGGTCGGGGGAAACGGCCGAGTCTGCAGGGATCGGTTGACAAAAACCCGTGCGTTTGGTCAACAAGAAATCAAACAAATAAAGACAACCATTAAAAATATAGTCTTTGCAGTCCTACTTTTGTGATTCTCTCCCGTGAGTGTGGTGGGGAACAGAAGTTGGAGCCACTCGCCCAGATCGTTCCTGTCCCCGGCCCGCAGGGTGCACGGCTTGAGGGGAGGAGCGCACATGTCGCAAACCGACAGCTCGGCGGGGGGGCGTCTGGTCGACGGAAGGTCTGGAATGAAGAGTTGCCAGTTAACTAAACGCCAGATCGTTGGTACCTGTCTCAGCCATCTTGTTACCTCTGCAGACGATTGCCAAGTCGTGTAAGCGTTAAAACAAGTGTTGTGAACAAGTGTTGCGTAAGTTTATTGCGGCGATATCACAGAGGAAGCAGCTAAAGTTGGATAGTTTTTTTGCGATAATAATCTTGTATGGCTGAATTATTAAAATTTTTGCAGCATTTGTTTATAAGAAGTAAACCAATTCTCAATGTATATTGTTGTTGTTGTGTTATTATCATCTGCAATTGAATAAGTAGACCATTTCAGAATTCGAAATTTGGGGCTCTCTAAATGCATAATGGGACTCAGACTTTTCTGATCAGCGAGTCCCTGGGACTCGCACGGCTCAAACTGTAAAATGATCACTGCTGTCTGCTGCTGAAATAAACTCAACTCGATTGAGCACTTACTACACGTAACACCTTCCTTTTCTACATCAAGTAAAAATACGGCATATAAATCAAAGACGGGTGTGTGTGTGTGTGTGTGTGTGTGTGTGTGTGTGTGTGTGTGTGTGTGTGTGTGTGTGGGGGGGGGGGGGGGGGGGGGGGGGGGGTTATTATGATTGTTATCAGTGGATTGGATTGAGAAAAAAAGTGTTTGAATATAATGATGATTGCTTGATGAATTTCTAAATTGGTGAATTCAAAACTGAAATGTCTCACTCCAAAATGGTCAAACAGAGAAAATGGAAAGAATCTGCATTAAGTACGTGCATGATACTGGACAATTTCTTCTGGTTTTCATTATCATGTCATAGTAAAAGTGGGTCTGTTTTACTGCCCATTCTCCTCTCTCCTCTCCAGCTAAGACAGGGGTCGGCAACCCAAAATGTTGAAAGAGCCATATAGGACAAAAAAAAAAAAACAAAAAACAAATAGGTCTGGAGCCACAAAAAAATAAAAGCCTTCTATAAAACTTACAATGAAGGAAACACATGCTGTATGTAGGAGACTGGACTGTCTCAGAATTGTTTGTTATTCATTCCTTTGTTGTGTGTTCACAAACGCCCCCATAGAATTTATTTGCAAATTTCCTCGCTTCATTTTTTTGTTTTGGTGCATTATTTTCGCTTTTCTTAGTGTCAGTGAAGTGATCATTAATTTCCGTTTTTCTGAGGCTGTCTTTGAACGCCCCTCGAGTCGAACGAGAAGGGAGAAGGCACGGAGTCGGAAGCAGACGTGTCTGTGTTTGTCGAGACTGTTAAAAGCATAAATAAAGTGTACATTTTAAAAAACCAACACCACAGCTCTCCTTTTTCGGAGCTGCAACATGTATCTATATCCATTTGAGCTACATTAGCTGACTATCAAAATCTTTTTCCATTTTCAAACATTTTTTATGAAGCTCCAGGGAGCCACTAGATGTCGCTAAAGAGCTGCATTGGGCTCTGGAGCCGCGTGTTGCCGACCCCCGAGCTAAGAGATGCGGGGCTAGGTGACAATGAGCGACTTGGTGATGTTGCGGAAAGGATTCGGCATCGATGGACTGGGGCAGGTCCTGAGGTGAACCACTTCCCCGGAGGCATTTACCCGCATCTCATTCATTAATGAAATGGATTCTCATTCTGTTGAAACTAACACTTAACAACGTCACTTCATGTGACCAACATTGCCCACTCACATCCATTCGTGATCCCTTCTTGAGGTTGAAAAGAAATTATTATTTTTTTAATTTCTTGAATGGAACTGGACTTACCTGCATCATGGTGTGGTTCGAGTTCAATCATGGACACCGGTCCGCTTTGTAATCTGCGCCCCCGTCCCCGAAAAACAAAAACATGAACACAGGAGACAAAAATCCCACGAATGATCATCATATGCTCCGTCTTCTCCTTACATTTCCCCTTCAGGAGAGGAACCGTCCTGTAGGCTGTCTCGCCTTCCTTCCACAGTGAAAGTTCCTTGGCTGTTGGCAGTCGCGCAGTCGGGAGTGTAGACTCGCACCACGACTTCATGACTCTGAGCGGCGCCTTCGTCGTTGGGTAAGGGCCGGGTGGAGAAAACCTTGGCAGGGGTGTTCACTCTCTCTGTCTGCTCTTCGTCCCGCGTCGTTTGACTGGGCGGCAAATCGACCGCCTGCCAAGGCGATTTTGCCGAAGGTCTGCTTTGTTTGGCTTTTGTTTTCATGCCAAGTTTGGACTTCTTGTGACTCGGAAGCCCCGCCTCCGCGTTCTCTGGCGTGGCCGTGACCTTCCACCACTCACCGGGCAGTCTGCTTCGCCGTTTCTCCGGCAGCTGCTCGAGAGATCCCGTGGTCCTCGGCGGGATGGGCTTGCTGGACACTTTTTTCTTACGAGTGCTCTGGTACATTCGCCGGAATACTCGATGCTCTGTAAAACACAAGTATGTTGCCATTTGAGTCGCTGGCCATCACTGGTAATGAGCTCTGCTCTTCTTATTTGAGGGGCCGTCTAAGCAGGGCACAATACTATTTACGCTATTTGCTTTTTTTCCTCCTCCAGGTGAGTAATGCACAGAGGAGCGAGGGAGAAAGACGTAAGATGCACAGCAAACACGGATGCCTTTTTTTTGCGCTGCTAATGTGTATTGTCATCCCCCACCCCCAAAAAAATGGTGCCAGCATCCACGTGTCTGTTCTACAAATAGCTCACCATTGACACTGTGACGAATTAATACTAACAGAACAAAGTAAACATTTATGAATTTCAATTTAACACGGTACACATTTCTTCTGTATCAAATATTCTGCAATATCTTTAAAAATAAACTTGATTGAGTTCACATGCTGCTGTGATACTGCAATATTTTTTGCTCGCGATTATCATACCGAAAGAATTTCAAATTTATGACTCAAAATAGGGCGGCCCGGTTGTCCAGTGGTTAGTGCGTCGACCTCACAGTGCAGAGGTACCGGGTTTAATCCCAGCTCCGGCCTCCCTGTATGGAGTTTGCATGTTCTCCCCGGGCCTGCGTGGGTTTTCTCCGGGTACTCGGGTTTCCTCCCACATTCCCAAAGCATGCATGGCAGGCTGATTGAACATTCTAAATTGTCCCTTAGGTGTGAGTGTGAGCGCAAATGGTTGTTTGTCTCTGTGTGCCCTGCGATTGGCTGGCAACCGGTTCAGGGTGTCCCCCGCCTACTGCCCGAAGACAGCTGGGATCGGCTCCAGCACCCCCCCGCGACCCTTGTGAGGATAAAGCGGATCGGAAAATGAATGAATGACTCAAAATGAATTCGTCCAGTGTGAACATTTGTTTGTTTATATGTGCCCTGCTGGTAAGCTGTCCAAAGACGGCTGGGACAAGCTTCCATTGATGGCTTTGGGTGTGTATCGTACCTGAATTGTGGTTTCGGTGTTGTTGGATGAAGTCCTGAGGACTGGAAAGCTGAGGAGAAGAGTCCCGATCCGGGAATTGCTGTTGCTCCTGATCTTCTGTTTGTTCTGCTCCATCACCGTTTGGTTCACTGGGCAATCTTTTCCACAGGGCTCTTTTCGCCTTCGACCGAACCTTCTTGGACTTTTTCGCATCCTTCTCGATTGTGCTTTTGAGCAATCTCTTGGGCTTGGCCGGTAACGCAGACGCTTCCTTGACCGGTTCTCCGCGGTTCGCTTTGTACTTCTTGACACAGTGCGCCTCGCCTCTCACCTCAGGTTGCGCCTCCGTTTGAGGGCAGCCGAGCCACCACTCTCCAGGCGGGTTTCTTTTCCTTTTGCCCAGCATCTGAAACTCCTCGGTGGGACTCCTGCCAGGAGTAGACTGATGATTTTGCTCAAATGTTCGGGCTGCCGAATCCTCAGCGGTGTCGGGTTGCCCCAAGTCGAAAACTGTGTGATGAAAGCTACATTTGTGAAATTTAAAAAATTAGAATTTATGTGCAAAGCATATTTTAGGGAGGAGAGAAGTCAGATGAAATATCAATGTTTAAAGGGAAAGAATTGATAAAAGGGGTTGTCAGGACTGTTAAATGACAGTCCCTCAGAACGACTTTCTCCATATATAATCAGCTAAGCTGGCCGAAGTTTCCGAGAGACTTTCAGGCAACTGATTAAAACACGATGACGCAAAGGCACTCGCATGTACAAACGCGCACATCCTCCATGGAACCGGAAGCAACACCCCTGCTAGCGTCACCAAAAATGCACGAATTAGCATTAGCTAACAGAGTTACATTCTCAAAACAGTCTTTTTCCTTCATATAAAATTTGGAGGTGGCCACCTCAATCTAATTTCTGGCTTTTTCATTCTTTGATGTCAGAAAAACTACAAGTGTGAAGCTCCCCACTGGTCTGATGATTTGATATGCTGGATCAGGATACCGTAATATGTTTTCGATTTCATTATTGCTGTGTTTTCATCAATAAATGTTAGATGCAATCTACTTTTTTCTTAAAAATTTGACCCTGACATTAAATCATAACAGAAACAAACATTTCGGCCTTAGTCGACTTGTAGTATGAGCAAAGTCAAAATCCCAAAACGAAACGTGATGAAGCGGCAAAATATAGTAAATAAAATTTATAAAATAAATAACGAGCGCTGCGCACTACCGGAAGTGCAAACCAGTTAAATGAGGCTAAAAAAAAAAAAAAAAAAAAAAAAAACAACAACTGAACTACGCATTTCTGGTTTTAGAGCGGCGCTTTTTTATCGTGACCACCAAATCTTTGGTACATTATGATGTTACACTGTTATTTTTATCACAATATTAATCATGATGGATGGATGATTTGACCTTTTCTGAAAAGTGGCTACGCAACAAGCATTCATATGATGCAGAATTTCTCAGAGAGAGACAGAGAGAGAGAGAGAGAGAGAGAGAGAGAGAGAGAGAGAGAAAAAAAAAGTAGCCCAAAATGAACAATTACAGTTTATGCTTTTGGCTTTCCAGAAATGTCTCGTAAAATAAGCAAGTATTTTGTATCTAATAATCCAGCTGCGTCAACGTGGAACTGTCATGCCTCAGTGGGTTATGTGGGAAAGGACAGGCGACGATATCTCGCCGTTCTGTTCCGGCAATTTACCGGGATGCCAGTGTGAAAGCGAGACATGACGAGAAGATGATCTTACCGGAAGAAGAAGCCAGGTCGACATCTTCACACTCTTCATTTCTGCACTCCTGATGCTGCGTCTTCATCCCCTTCGCGCTTGAAGCCGGCCTGTTGGTCTTGGGATTTTCTCGGTCGCCTTTTGAAGACGTCTTCACCTTGGATGAAGGCTTGACGCTCTGGGCGTCTGTCAGGCTGACGGCCGCCACTTTGGTTTGGTTGTCAGCCTTGTTGCGCGGACCCTGTGGGTTCTTTTTGTTGGGGATATTGCGATGCTTTGGCTCGTTCGTTTTTACTCTCGTGTTCTTGGGAGTTTTTTTCCGGGCCGTCTGCTCTTTGAGCAACTTCTTATTTGGCGGCTCGTTCTGCTGCCAGCTGTCCGTCAACCCGCCTTTGTCACTGCCGGACTCTTTGCTCTTAAGCTGCTTACTGGTTGATTTCGTAGGAATGGAAACGCAAAAAGACATGTCATCCACGGCCAGGAAATCATCCTCTAAATCAGGAGGGGGAGTGGGCGCTTTAACCGGTGGCAGGGTCTTCCTGAAATTTCAAAAACAAGCATGGGAGATTTTATTTGTAGGGCTGGACGATGAATTGAAATGTAATTGTTATTTGAATTTTGGCTTGTCTCCATCTTGAAAATGTTTCAATCGAATAAAAACCAAAAAGGTGCAGAATGGTGTGGGGCGTTGAAAAGTTCCCAAAGTTGTGAAAGTAACCTGAATGCACCATGTGAAGCATGATGTGTATTCTGCTGTCCCTGAGCCGGAGCCTGGAATCGAATCCAGGACGTCTGCACTGTGAGGCGGACGAGCACTGCTAACCAGTCGAGCAGCGTGCCGCCCATTTTGAAACCATTACTTTTCTAACTTTACTTGGCTAAAAAGCTGGAGTTGATCAACTAAAATCTCACATGTGGACAGTTCATTCATTTTCCGATCCGCTTAATCCTCACAAGGGCCACCCCCCCCGCGACCCTTGTGAGAATTAAACTGAGCCAATCCCAGCCGTTTTCGGGCAGTAGGCGGGGGATACCCTGAACCGGTTGCCAGCCAATCGCAGGGCACACAGAGACAAACAACCATTCGCGCTCACACTCACACCTGGGGACAATTTAGAGTGTTCAATCAGCCTGCCACGCATGCTTTGGGAATGTGGGAGGAAACCGCAGTACCCGGAGAAAACCCACGCAGGCCCGGGGAGAACATGCAAACTCCATACAGGGAGGCCGGAGCTGGGATTGAACCCGGTACCTCTGCACTGTGAGGTCGACGCGCTAACCACTGGACACCGGGCCGCCTATAGGGACAGTTAGTTGCTTTTTTTTTTTTTGCCTTAATAAATTAAATTGGCATTGAGAAACTGCATTCAGTATTTCCTTGGGTAATCTGTGTGATATTAAAATTGGTTTGATGAACTGAAACCTTTGTACGTGATAAATATGCAAAGAATGCAGAAATCATGAAAGCGGCAAATACTATTTCACAGCACTGTACAAGGTCACTTTGTATTTGACAAAAAGAATAGAGTGTTCAACGCAGGGATGAATGGGCAGGGGCTATGTTAATAGTTTAGAGTCGTTCAGTTTTAGTGGTTGAATATTTGTACAATTTATTAATCGTGATTTCAATTTCAATGAAAATCATCGTGATTATACATTTTCCCATCAATCATCAATCCATAAAGACTAATATTGCAAGCAGAAGCCAAACACAAACTCCTTTGTCAATCGGTTCTTACTTATCAGTGGCTGGCTTTATCGTTGCCGCATCTTTCTTTTCTTCACAGTCAGAGACGATCGGTGACAGCATCTTGCCTTTGTTGTTGGTCTTTGTCTGTGCCGAATTCCGACCCATGCTCTCGTCCAGTGGGCTGGAAGTCTTCACAGGTTCTTGGAAAGGAACGTCTGAATGGTCTGAAACAAAGTTGCATTGTGAAACAAAATGCCGAGTGTGCTTCGGAAGTGTGCACGTCACTTACCGATGTTTAGAGCAGCACTTGGCAAGCGTGTCGCTGGATGTAACTGTTCATTGGGAGACTAAAGACAGAAATGGAAAGATTGAGTTTCTGCTAGGCCTGAACGATGTGGCCTTAAAATAGAGTGTGGAGTTCTTTCTACAAACATTTGATTTGAATGATTTTTAACCATTGGTTAGAGAAAACATATATGAGCTGGGATTTGTTTTATTTCCCCTGCTACCAACAAGCATGTGATTTTTCTGAGCATTCACTTGCATCAACTTACACATAAGAGAAATAAATATTTTTTTCCAAAACATGTCGATAAATCCTTTATAAATTCACAATTTCATAAAATAAGGCATCAAACTGCATGTCTGGGCAATGTTTGAAAAACGTCTTCACCTCGGATGAAGGCGTGACGGTCTGGTTGTCTGGTTGTCTGCCGGTCGCCGATTTGGGTTGATTGTCAGCCTTGTTGCGCGGATGCTGTGGATTGTTTTTCTTGGGAGTAATGCAATGCTTGGCCTCGTTCTTTTTTTCTCTCATGTTCTTTGGAGTTTTTTGGAGGGCTGTCTGCTCTTTGAGTAGCTTCTTGCTCAGCACGTCCATCTCCCTGCCATTGCCACTGGTGGACTCTTTGTTCTTATTCTGCTTATTGGTTGATTTCGTGGCAATGGAAAAGCAAAAAGGGCCGTTGTCATCCACAATCAGGAAATCGTCCTCGAAATCAGGAGGGTGTGTGGGCGCTTTGAGCGTTGTCACGGATTTCCTGAAATTTAAAAAAATAAGCGGGAGAGGTCTTATTGTTTGTACTCTCAGCATGTTGGGGTATCTTTGTTAGGGTTAATAAATAAATAGCGTCCTCGAAATCAGGAGGGTGTGTGGGCGCTTTGACCGTTGTCACGGATTTCCTGAAATTTAAAAAACAAACGTGAGAGGTCTTATTGTTTGTACTCTCAGCACGTTGGGGTATCTTTGTTAGGGTTAATAGATAGATAGATAGATAGATAGATAGATAGATAGATAGATAGATAGATAGATAGATAGATAGATAGATAGATAGATAGATAGATAGATAGATAGATAGATAGATAGATAGATAGATAGATAGATAGATAGATAAATAGTTCCCAGGTGTCTTGATAAAATGCTTCACATAAAGTGTCAAAATATCACGGATCAAGATATACAATACACTATAATTTACAATTTCACCTTCTTTTTTGAGCTTCACTGAAATCAGCATGTTACAGCTACCCACATCTACTGCAGGGTGCGACAACGCACAAACACAAATTCTAAAATTAGAGATGAAAGTGGACTTTCCTGAAAATTCCGGGGGCGGGGAGATATATATATATATAAATTTTAACTGACTTACCAGGTTTGTCGACCTTTCTAATGTAGTCGGACAAAAAAATCTCCATTCAAATCCTTTTCCTCAAGCCATGACCACTTGAACATGTTCCTAACACTCGCGTCTATTGCACGTATGTCAGCTTGCCTGTCTACCCGTTTGAACATTGCTCTGGGGCCGTACCTGGCCGATCACGCATTAATTAGTTTACACAAAACGCTATTCAAATACTCGACATTCAATGATTAATTTGCCTTTTGTGTGCACACGTGCACCCTTTGTGGCTTCCGTTCTCGGCGAAATTTCGAAGTCTCCGAGATATGGCGAGGCGATGACAATGCGAGCGGAGGGGTGTTACTGTTGTAGCGACACCACTACACGACGCTCAAAGTCGGACGGACACGTTTTTCTGTTCCCTTTTTGTCCAATATATATATATATATATTTTTTTTTTACTACAACAACTGCCTTGTCCACGGCGTCTTTTATTTGTTCCACTGGGGTTTAGCAAGTGTCTTTATAAAGAGACGAAAATCTCTTTATTGTTACTAGTGTTAGTGCCTCAC